TTGAATAACAAGTCTATAGCAGCCTTTTATGCTAACATTACGCTTGGCGATGATTATAGATTTTTAAACGCTTTAAGAAATGTTGACGAGGAAAAATTCAACAAAAATTTCTTTCCATATGCTAAAAGTATATTTTGTTATTGAAACTCATAGGCCAAAAGATTACATTTAGTGCTGTTTTAATTAAGAATAACTGATATGTCATTCACCATAAACCCATAAGCGGCGGCAGAATTTAGGGAAGATGAAATTTTTGGAATTTGGGGAAGCACCGAGTAGTAGGGATGAGAATTTTTGATTGGGCCCTGCGAAGTATTTTGCATTTTTTTGTGGGAAAGCACTGAGATGCAAAGTTTGGTGCAGTGAAAATTTAGAACTTAGGAAGGCACTTTGTAGATGAATTTAGAGACTGCACCAGGTGGTATCTAGCGCCGGCCCTAGATAAAGCCTTAAGTATATGTGGGAGTTTATTTATTCAGGACTAATAGCATGTGCAAGAAATAAACATAGGTATAGTAAGTAACTAATACAATTCAGGCTTAATTCAGTATGCAATAGGAGCAAGACAAAATTTAGCGAAACAACTTGGCTTTCGTCCCCAATCTAGTGATACACAGCCAATAATGTATAACGAATGCTATTAAGCTAGGCTTATCTCCTGTATTCCAATCATGCATTCAATAATGTCCAGACCGCACTGCTCCATAATCTTCTAGTTTGATCGATTATTTTGCAGACTGTTACAGTAATTTATGAAACTAAGCTTGAACTTTTGATTATGTCGAAAAGAGTTTCCAATTACTGGAGCTGCAAAGAAGCTACAAAGTGAAACCATGTTTCAATGTCCATTAAAATGAATGAAATTGCTGCAAAAAGTTATGCATATTAACTTCGGAAAAAGTTAAAGTATTAAAGTTAGAAAGTTATGTAGTGAATCAGAAAAAAAACTTTTTGAATTTTTTGTGGAATTACAAAAAAAAAACTTAAATTAAATTTGTAAATAAATTTTTTTTTTTTTTTTTTTTGTTTTTTTTTTTTTTTTTTTTGTAAATTTTGATAGCCTTTAGATCGTAATTGTTCTTTATTTCATAAAATATGAATTCATATTTTTAATGGTATAATTTCTGCATTAACTGGATGGTTACATAAGCAGTGCCTTCCTTTTTCTTCTAATGCCTTTTATGAGACTTCCTGTACGACGTTGTTTTTGTGCCATTCTCTAAAACATAGGTTGAAATCTTCAAACTTACTATTTTCTTCAAGCTTCTGTTAGTGCAAAATAACCTTTACTTTCTTTCTATTTGAGGAGATGTTTGAGTTAATGGAAGTGTATTGAAGATCAACATGGTAATGCTTAGCCTCACTTCTAATGAGTTCTTTAAGGAACATGTTGTCAGCTAGCTGTTTTTCCTTCCTGGACAACGTTTGAGCAGACTCATTAGTTTCTGTTGTTTCTAGCCGCTACAAATCTGGAACACTTAGTTCCCTCAGAGATAAATTTCTCATTAACATAGGCACTCAAAAAACCTTGGGATGGATTCTGTAACTGACTGCAAACTGTCCATCCAAGTTATGTCTGAATTACTGAGAGATCATTGTTTAGCTGTCTAAGGCCCATATCACACATGCATTTGTTTCAGACAATTTTTCTGCCTGTTTTACTATTGAAAGAAAGACGCACAATTTTTTCCTTCCTTTCAGAAAGAATTGCAAGTTGTTAGTTTCAACCAATTAGCTATCAGCTTGTTTGTAATGGAGAGCCAGTTTTCCCTGTGTTAACCGCAAAGTTATCTGTGGTGATTGGCTGTTGTGACAAAGCAGAAAATTTGTTCCATACAGTTGTTCTTCCAAAACAAATGGATGTGTAATAGCAACCTAATGCAACCACTTAGGAGTTAGCCATAAGTGTCACTGCCAATTAAAATTTCTATTTCTGCACTCCCGGTTTCGTAATCATTTCTACTAGACTCCTTTGGAATGCAAAGAATTTTCCCACATATATTTTCTTGGCTTGAGAACTGATTTGGGATCATTACCCACTGCACTTAATTTGACTTTATATTTACCATGAGGTGTAGCTTTTCAAATACTATGTGAGTAATAGTTTATGTACAGAGAAAGCTTAAGACCAAGTTCCTTTGCAATATTCTTCAGAATGTAACTTGTTTGAGAACCACTGTCCAGTAAGGCCCTGACCTTCTTAATTTTCTTATTTTCCTACATTAATATTTCTAGTGTTTCAAGAGAGCTGCTGCTTTTGAACACTGCTGGTTTATGAGCATGGTGTGGACACTTGCTGGGGTTTGCTTTTATTAATGTTTACTTTCCTTTTGCTTGTTTCAGGACAGAACAGCTCTGTATGAGGTTTTGAGAAAACATGACAATGTACAAAACTTTACACACTTTGGCATGGTGGCCAAAGCATAAACATTTCAAACCAATGGAAAAAACACCAAAAACCAGTTCTTGTCCCTAACTTTATTTATTTTTTCTTCAAGGGAGAACAATCTGGCAGTGATGCTGTCTTTACTTTCATGTGACCTACACAGAACAAGCATAATATTTCTTTAGCAACAAATAAACCTGCTGCAGTGTGGTACTTGTTATCCCTTTCTTGAAATTTATTTGGGGGGGGGTTGACCTAGCTTCCTTTGCCCATAACTTCCCTGTTCAAAAAGTTCATAAAGGTCAAATTTCATTTCAATCTAACCGAACCTGAAAGATGACTGGCTGAATTATCAGGTTCTTCCTTTTCCCCAACATTGTTTCTTTACCATGCCTTTAAAATATCATCATGTAAACAGGATTCTATCATGGGGTACAGCCAGGCTGAATTAAAATCTACATCATGCTTCATGGATTCTAAAGATCTAAAATGTGCTTACCTTGGTAAGCAAGTCGCATAATGATAATCTGTCCTCACTCCCATCTTGAATATTTGCTGTGATTAATTAAAAAAATATATGATGTACACTTCGATGAGAATATCTTTATCCCCATATAGTGCTCTTGAAAAGCTCACAAAGCTTTTGAATAATTTTCTGCAGTTATTGGGTAACTGTCTAATAAATGTCTAGCTCAAGTTCCAGGTTCTTCAGCTTGTAGCAAATATTAAAACTTATCACAGTCATCCAATTTATTATCTTCATGTATGTTAAACTGTGTCCAAAATGGCAATAACTGATTAACTCACACTCAGAAGGCTTTATATTCAGTTTATGTAATTTATACAATTTAAAGTTACTAGTGACAAAATGAGAATACCTAAAAACTTCATGACTCGAAACTTTATTCACATTGTGATTCATTAAGTTTCTTATATGATGACTTCTTCAGAATATTTCCCATTTTTATCTGTCTCTGTCAATAATGGGCTCATCACATTTGTCTTCATCTACTAATGTGTTGGTTATACAATTATTTAAACCTTTAATTCATATATAATAATTTAAGTTTTTAATGTGCAAATCTGAAATTTCATCTTTTTTTAGTTTTGATTTCAAAACATTACATATTTTTGTAAATGATGCATGTAAAGGTGTACGCTTCTTCTTAACTTATCCGTATTCTATCATTACTCAATTCTAATACACTGTAACATACTATAACTAAATACTTTAAGAAATTTGTTCCGATACCGTAAGAACATTCAAAGTGCTGAATTCAGTAATATTCTTTCTTTCGCAAAATTAAAATACACACTTTATTTAAGATCATATAACTTCTAGTATTTCTTTATTCAATCTGAAATTATTAACTGTTCAACCTAAATATTAAAATGCTTTCATTCATCATAATACAGCCTCAGAAAATAAACAAAATTCAAATACTTCCATTTTGCAAATCATGAATAACTAGTTCTTCATTCAGTCCTCAAATGTAGAATTTCGATCACACAGCACTCACTTTGTGCACAGCATGACCTGTGCATCGTTTCAGAATGCATCGTTTCAGAATATTTCTAAGAGCAGTGTCCAAGCTAAATTATTATCTATTTCAAATATAAATCCATAAATAATTCCTCTCTACATTTAATGAGCAATATAAAATTGATATCTTCTCGACAATAAATATTCCTATTCGAATTAATTTATTTTGAAAACAATCTCTTAATTCATTGCTACTTGTGGTAGTTTTTTTTCCTTTAGGACAGTACTTCTTGTCACGGACACCATAAAATTATGTAGTCAATCATCAAATACTGTTGACAAACAGTGTCAGAATCTGCTGTCAAATGCATGTTTGATTATAATTAGCATTTATATTAAGAAATAAGAAAACTTAATTACCTCTTTCTTGCTGACAGGATACCGTGTAGTGGTGATGTCTTAGCTATAGAAAAAGATCTGGAGTTATGGTGATGCCCACATTTACTTTTGCCAGCACTTTATATTATGAAGTACATCACTTAAAAGTGAACATACAGTGAATGAAAATACATATTAGCAGCTGTTCTTGGATACTCCACCCTTTCTATTTAATTTTATCTTAAATAGTCCATACAACCTAACATAAGATTTCTTACCTGTTTGCATTAGAATGAAAAAGAAATGTAACCCACAAAACTAAGGCATGCATGCCAACAAGAAGGTTAAATTTATCTTTCTAATGGAGCACCTAGTGCCATCTTGTGAGGGAAAGAACTAATTTAACTGGATTCTTAACGAGTATAATTTTTAAAATGCTAACGTAAGTACATTTGTGTAGAAGTAAAACAGGTAATTATTTTGGAGATTTGGGGTAAAGTTGACATAAAACATATTTTAGGGTTACCTGCTAAAAATCTCTTTGCTGGGGTTTATGCTGAAATATCCATCATGGCGTAGATAATGAAAACATGAGAAAATAGCTAAGAATTTTAATTATCTATAAAAACAACAAAGTTCATATATGTAACCTTTTTAATGCACACTTTTTCTCCACACACTTTATTCATTGTGTTATTTGAAAAAAAAAAAAAAATTTTTTTTTTTTTTTTTTTTTTTTTTTTTTTTTTTTAGGTTCCTTGTGGAGTGCTTTCAGATGATTGGTGTGGACTTAACAATTCGAAGAAAAATCCAGATGAGATAGCAAGAATGGTGAAAAAAATAGTATGTACTTTACTAAGAATCCGGAGTAAAGAACGAAAAAATTTTCCTCTGAAAAATCAGTTACATAGTAAAAATTAAGCTTATCATATGGCACTCATTTGTTTCCCTTTATATCAAAATCTGATTGTTTAATAAATTTAAATACATATAGTGCCGATAGTTTTTTACACATTTTATTATTCATGATGCTTTTTTTTTTTTTTTTTATGAATACATGTTGCATTTATATGAGATTGAACACCATAGTGTTATGAGTAATGTGCCTCAGTTAGAAGAGTTTTTTTTTTTTTTTTTTTTTTTTTTTTTGTACAGAATAAATATTTTAAGGGAGTTTGTAACGCATATATTTGTTTAACCCATAATTGGTGAATTGAAATTTAGTGCTTTCTAAAATAGCATATTTGCTCACATAAACACCAGGTGTATGCTAATTTCACTTCTTAAAAATCTAGAGGGGAACGAATATGTAGCGCATAGCATTTCTGAGGGATGGGGTTGAAGAATGCTATCAGCTGACAAAACATGTATGAATATTTGATTAATATTTATTGTATTCTATGTATGTCATTATGTATTGTATTCTGTGTATGTAAGTCAGTCACAATTTATACTTTCAGTGTCATTCTTTTACTTATATGCCATTCTTTACTCACATTATTCTTTGTTGCCTGACCATACTTTCTAAATTGGTGCCACAAATCAGAACTTTCTAAGTCATGTTATGTAATGTAGAAGTGAAGGGGCCATCTAATATTTAAATATAATTTAAGTAAGTAGGTATTAGCAACAAAATCTTTCCCAAATAAGTAGAAGGCTCACACTCAGTGAACTCATTCTCTGGTAAAATGTCCGTATGAGATGCTAGAAATATCGCTCTCTGACTCTTTGTAAAATGAATCATCACTCTTAACCATGTCACTTGGCTCATTTACCATGCAAGTATATTCTTCCTCTGATAAACAACACTTTCTTGTCATAATAAACTTAAGTCGAGGTTCTCCAAAATAAAAAGGGGAGTATGCAAAATATGAGCGATAAAAGCAATAGAATTCCACATAGTAACCCTAAGAGACCCCACATAATAACAAAATAAATAAATAAAGGATTTGAAAAGATATCAGAAGAACAAATGTGGCAAGTTAAAGAGCTGAGCTCTGTTTGTTTACATTATGCTTTGCCTCTTCTCCTGCAACAGCTGATACCAACATTATGCAGAATGTGATCAAACTGAAGGTCAGGATTCTAAAACTGTATTAATTTCAAAAGTAATGGACACAGGATGCCATCTAGTTTTATTTAAAACATGTTCCAGTTTCAAATGCATATATGCTTCAGCTGACCCTTGCATTATATCTCCAGTGATGCATGATTGGGATGCCCATCTGTAAGTGATGTTCATAGGGAATCTGTGTATCGGATGCCTGTTCTGAAGGAGTTAAACCATGTCTGCCCAGTTACTGGTTAATATACAAAAGTAATCTGAAACCATATTTTAGTCTGTTTTAAATTATTTATTATTTTTATATTATTATTGTTATTTTAATTGCGTACAAATATCCTCATGGTATAAGAAGTTACAAGGAAGCAGTTCTGTGGGCTGTTGTTAAATGTGGGAAGATATATTGTGATTCTTATATTGTCTAAATTGTTCGACAAGGATAATATGCAAAATGTGTTTGTCATTATTCAGATGACTTAGCAACTTGCATTTAGTTGTAAAAAATGAAACGCAAAACCTTTTGATACTTGATGATGTGATCTTTTTAAATATTTTCTGGTTCAAGGTGATTTGTTTAATTGTTATATTGATATTTTTCATAAAAATATCCTTAGTATCTGCTGAATAAAAAATGAAAATGATATTTAGTATTGTAATCTCATTAATAGGGTGTATTGAATGCTAATCTTTATTGCCAAATTTAAGCAACATTAAAAATTTTCATATACATTATTTTACTATTGAAGTAAATTTACTGCCATCTGTTTACTTAAATGTGTGGTAGCTTGCTTTTTCAAACCTAAAAGTGTAACAACATTCAACTTCAACATGCCTTGGTCTCTGTGATGCATATTAGCAAATATTTTTTTTAAATTCTTGTCATTAATGTGGTTGCTTTATAATCCTAAATAAATTAAATAACTATTAAGGCTGTATATCAAGTCCATTTAATTTCAGTATTCTTTATGATTCTTCAGTTGTTGTGTAGCCTTAAAAGGCATTTTACACATTATTTTAAACATGCTTTCCTATTTGTAAGTAGCATGGATGTTAACTTACTTCAAATGGTAACAAAAATGTTGCATTGTTTACATATGGAAATTGCAAATAAACATTCCTTTATTTTTATTGTTTTATTTTTATTAGATTTGTTTATGTTGCGATATGTTATGTATCCGGTGAATTGAACCGTATGTCAGAATGATTCATATCTAAAATACAACAAATTTTTTTTAAATTATTATCTACAGAAATGTATATACTTGTTTTAACTATTTGTATTATTTTGGACATTTAGATCAAAGTCTCTTTTTAATGCATCGGGCACTATTTTAAGATTTAAAATACAGATCAAAGCTACATTGAAATGATGGTTCTGTTGAAAGTACTGCTTTATTTTATGTGGTATGTGGAGTTTAGATCTGCCCTTTCAACTGACCAAACTTCTCTCATGGTATTTTCTGTGTAGTTCCATAATTCCTACTTAAATTAGAGAACATTATATGTGCTGGAATCCGTAAAATAATTGCATTAAATTTAATGAAGCAAATTTTCAGTAGAACAATTACATGACTGTTCCCTTTCTAATGTCATTCCTGAAGCAATCCCTCATCTTGTCTGGATGACTTTTGTGTGCTTTGCCATAATCTTTTAAATAACCCGTTTTTATTATGCACTTGAGCAGATTGTTTTCAAAGCTAGTGTTCCTGTACTGAAAAATAAAAGAAGGCATTAGCATTTGTGGCTTTCCTTGATTATGAGAGAAATCTCAGCATCCTCAAACTATGGTTTAATTAGGCTGCCAAAATTGTTGCTTTGCTATGGTGAGTATGTTTAAATGTCTTTAATTTTTTATTTGGTTAGATCACTTAATATTGAGTGCAAATAAATTAAAGAGATACTATTTTTTACAAGCAAAAGTGACATGAAAGTGGTTACATTCTTTGAGAAGATGTGAACGATTTAATTTTGATCATTTTCAGTATTAAAAAGTCTCAGTTTTATTTTTGCCTGCTTTTATTTGTCTGTTAATAAATGAGCAAGTACTTCTCTCCATTCCATAAATGCTGTTATTTACATGTGGACTAATCTAGACCAATAGATCTAAACTGCCATTGTCATCTACATTGTTCATTTAGGTGCTAGTAGTTACACGTACTAATGAGACATCATCATCACATGATTATTATGGCTGTGATTTTTAATACATTGTTTAGTTGATTTGTGAGAAATGTGTAGTGATTATATAAGCGAACAAATGAATCCTTTTGAAATGTAATTGTTTTCCATGTAATACCATACTTTAAACAGTATAAAATTATGCTAAAATTTAAACATGAGTGGATTGTTTTACTAGAAAATGCTGCAAATTTTAAGGTGTTTAGTCAATGTAGCCTCCTCTTTTTCAAGCAACTTATATTAAAGTATTCTGCCATTGGTACATTATTCTTTTGCTGCCTGAAGAAGGATCTTCTTTGCCTGACTTCCACAAAATTTAGAGTTTTCTACATACCAGCCTAAAATAGAACTTTTGCCTTATGCAAAATTGGTTTTTAGTTGTCAGCAGATCATTTTTGTAGCATACTGATGTAGTTATCTGGAATTCTCTTTTGTAAAAGGTTCTGTTGTAGAAGTGTTTCGTGCTGTTGAGAGTTATATTGTTAAAGTGCCTTTCAACACTTATATCTCACATCTTTCACTTATGATTGGCAACAAACTTCATTATATGTAATCTGAAAATGTTTTATTGTGACAGACTATTTTATGTAATTCTGCATTTTTTAATATGAAGGCAGTACTGCATAGCAGATCATCATTTTAAGTTAAAAATCATGTAAATTTGTTTTTGTCTTTCATAAATTATGAGTTGCATCTCACAAATAATTATTTAATTTTATGCCAATATTGTAAGTTAATGTTTTGGAATTGTATGTTGATGTTTTGTAATAAAAATCAGGTGTTATCTTTTTGTATGTGTGTGTGTGCAATTTATTTCATGGAATTTTCTATCTTATTCACCTGATACATGCACATTATTCACATATTTTTATGAGGAAGTAAATTAAATATCTAAAATTACGGTGATTTTTGGAATATTTTTTTAGATATGGCTTTTACTTATAAAGCTAAGCAATTTACTTTATAATTTGTGATTTTTAGCATTTAGTGAACAAGAGTGTATATCAGGCATGGCTATGCAGCTCTTTCATTTCTTAGATGAGATTTGCATAGAAAATAAACAGCTGTTTTGAGAAATAATTATAACATAAAATGAAAACAATGTTGGGATGCACTTTTTAAAGAAGCAGTAAAAAAAAATTGCTTTTCAGTAGCTAACCCGTCATTTCTGTAGAATATTGATGTAGTTATCTTGAATTCTCTTTTGTAAATGGTGCTATTGTAGAAGTGTTTATTATCGAGTATTCTTTGCTGTTGAGAGTTGTATTGTTAAAGTTCCTTTTGATACTTATATCTCGCATCTTTCACTTACGATTGGCAACAAACTTCATTATGTGTATGATGGTTTTTAGTTAGCCTCATATTATTTCCTCGACACTAATCGTCAGAATAAGAAATAAAAAGCAATTAATTTGTTTTCTGTGTCTTATTGTTGATATTATTTACATAGAACAGATAAGGTATTGGGACAGCAGAAAAAGCAAATATACAAGAACCTACTGTGTTTTTGATATACAGTACAAAGTCCAGAATCCGAACGTCCATTATCCGGACTGATCTATACTGGTGTGCAAAATTTAAGCAACAGGTGTTCTTTTTGCCATAACTCCTTGAGAAATCATCTGAGAGACATGAAACTCAGAAATGAGAGACAGAATTTTGTATTTAAATAATGACAAAAGCATAGTTGTGCAAAAATGAATACAATGCATACAGTATGGAATCAAACAAAAAAAGGCTTTATTGAACTCACGATCGTTACACATAATTGTACAAGAGAAAGAACAACAAGTAGATGTTCCTTAGGACGAGGATATTGCCTTGCCCTCTTATTTATTGCAATGGTTGCTTCGCACCGTCTCTCCATACTCGGCACCAGATTGTCCAACAGATCTTGAGGTAAGAGTGCTCATTCCTCAATCACCATCTGTTTCAGTTGTTGGCTGTTTCCCGAAGGATGTAATCGTGCCGCAAGGCATCTCCAAAAAGCATCCCACACATGTTCTGTGAGATTTAAATCAGGGAAGTAAGCTGACCAATCCATTGGAGTGATATCTTCATTTTCCAGTAGCTTCTGAACACAGGACTACTGTAATGGTCTCTTTCCGTGATGTTACTGTGTTGAAACTGTATCCCGACCTCTCTCAAAATCGACTGGTGTTGAGAATCGCTTGTGGCACTAAAACAACTCTCATTGTAAAGAGGACATGACTCCATTGATCAGATGTCCAGTTTTTATGCTCCTTGCACCACTCTAAACGGTGGTGCCGATCTCCAACTTTCAAAGGAATGCGGGTGAATAGGCCACCTTTAGAAAGGCATCTGGACACGTAAACCACGACACTTGTCACTCCGTTGCTCTCTCTATTCAGTTGCTAAGCAATGGAGCAATGCAGGAGGATATATCGGTCATCCATTGCTGCTGTTTACCTGGGCCGGCCACCAACAACCTTTCTAACAGCTGTACCTATAGTTTGAAAGGCTTTCCGAGCACACGAAACGACACATTTTTTGATTCCGAACTCTTCAGCTACACTGGTAACATTACGCCCCTCCTCCGCTTTCCGATCATTCTTCCGTGTGAAGGCATCCAGGTGATTTCTTCTAGCCATATTTCACGAAAGAACTCACTTGTACTTGCAGCAAATGTCTTTAATTGCGTCTCTGACCTTCCTTTTATTGTAGTCTTGAGGCTGAGCATGCCGACTGCACGCGTTTTGCTTATGTTCATGTCGCCTGTGAAATTTTGTTTCTGACATCTGCATAGGCATGACCTTTCTACTAAATTGCGTGATCATTGCACTAATCGCAAAAAAAACCTTTTCTGCAATTTCATGGCTACCTGATTAAATTTTACTTTGTTGCTTAAGTTTTGCACACCACTGTATAATCTGGACTTCAAAGCCACAAACCTTTTTTTTTTTGTATGCTTTATGCATGCATGTAATGCGTTTACGCATGCGCATTTAGCACAAAAAACAAAACAACTTACATTGAAAGAAATGTTCAATAAAGTAAACAAATAAATATTAAGCTTTTTTTTTGTAAATTTTGGTACCCTTTAGATCATAATTTCTCTTCATGCACGTAATGCGTTTAGCGTAAAAAACGAAGCAAACAACTTACGTTGAAGGAAATGTTTAATAAAGTAAACAAATAATTATTAAGCTTTTTTTTTGGTAAATTTTGATACCCTTTAGATCATGATTGCTCTTTATTTCATAAATTATGGTTTAATATTTTTAATTGTATAATTTCTGCATGCCATCTTACCAGATTTAAATTGATGATCTATAATCCGGAAAAAACCCTTAATCCGGAATCTCCGAAGTCCCGATGAGTCCAGATTACGGACTTTGTACTGTATATAAAATATACTCAGTGGCATTAAACTATGTATAATTAATTGCAACTTGCACTGGAGAAAACAAAACATCATTTTGCACCTAGTGAGTTAACTAAATGACTTAGAGCTAGGGTTTGTCTCCATATCTTGATTTTTATGTTCTTTGTGTGAAAAAAAATAACCTTTCTTTTATGGGGGACAAGGAGCCTACTGCATTCATTGCTTCTTTTGAAATACTTGTGTTTCACGTATGCCAGTTTCTACGTAAGTATGTGTGTCACACTTGTTTTATTGTTCCAAAAAATTCATAGGTGTAATCTCTTTTATTTCTTTCATTGTAAAGACTTTAATGACTTCTTTTGTTTACTCGTATTGAAGTAAGTTGACGATTCAATTGCCCTCAAAAACTGCTTTTTTGTTAGAATAAAATATGTTCGAAACATGGTAAAAAATTTGAAAATTGTAATGTCATAAGAGTATGTGTTCCTATATGTGGTGGGAGAGGAGTACTTATTATTACTTTCCAAATTATATAAATATTTGGTTGTCGCTTTTGGAATTTCTTAAATTTTAGTATGTAGCTCTTGATAATGTGAAGTTTAGTTATCCCTGATATATATATATATATATATATCAACTGTTTATTTGAAAGCATCCAAGATTTAAAAAAAATTCTTTATATGCTTGTTTTATGCGCTATTTCATTGACTATGCTAGTGAACTGGTATATATAATGTCCAAGATTTTCTGTTAAGTGTTTTGAAATATTTATTAAGTATAATACAGAGTGTTTGGGGGAGGGAGAAGATGGCTGTTATTTCTTTAAATAGTGATGCTAAATTGAGACAATACTGTCTATCCTGTACTTCTAATTACAAAATTTCTGAAAGTAATGTCAAGAGTTTTATGGAAGCAATTTCAACTTGGGATGTCTGTTGCAGAACTTAATGTTTGCTGGAGCATGGCTCCAGTAACATCTGAATTTTTTAGTGAAACCTTTATTTCAGCTGGAACTCCAAAAGATCAATAATACATGAGCTTCGGTATTTCAGTTTATTATTTAATTACAGATTTTTATTTAACTCTATATTTATTTCATTTTAGTTATTTTGTATTTCACTTTTATATAGTACTTTTAATTCCAGGAGTAAGCTGCGGTCAAAGGATTCTGTAAATATATTGGCATCCAAAATAAGCAAGCAATGCAAATTAGCAATTTTCAAAATTGCAGTTCAATTTTAATGCCTGAAAATTGCTGAAGCAAATTGCAGTATGCAAATATCGGAAGTGAAGCCAATCACGATTGATTGTCCGAACATGTGCTAAAACAGTCGTTGGAGACTGCCAGCATTCTGAAGGGTTTGAAGAGGTTAATTTAAATGCTGATAGGAAGTGTTTATGAATTTCATAGCATAATTTTCGATGATACTTGTGTTTCTGTGATTGGAAGAAGGATGTACTGGCATACTGTTGGATGCATTAAAGCAAGATGATTAATGAAAGATTTCGCTTTTTTCTTTGCCGTTGATCATTCGATTATTTCCCAAATGTGGAAACAATCTCGAATAAATCAAACAGTTGTCCCAAGACATTTGCGGTGATGAAAGTACCAAACTTCGAAGTTTAATGCATAGAGCCAACAAACTGAGAAACTCACACGTGCATCATGGGCGTATGCGCATATTTTCGAAATTTTAATACCGAGACAGTTTGGCGTACTTTACCAGGTAAAAAATTCGTCTATTTGGAAAGGCGCCAATAACAGTGTACTCTGATCATGCGGCGGTAACTAGATTGTACTCAGGGAAAAACTTATCCCCAAGGTTAATAAGATGGGCACTCAAGCTGCAAGAATATAATCTGGTAATCAAGCATACCCCCGGAAAGGAAAATATCGTAGCAGATGCCCTATCCAGAATTAAAATAGATGAAGAAGGTAATACTGTAAAGGTGGCAATGCTCACAGCATGTACAATAAATTCCCGAGAAACTGTAATAACCGAACTGGGTAAGGATCCTGAGTTTGGAAGCATTTATGAGTATTTAAAGGATCCTGAAAATTTTAGCCACCAAGATATTGTGGCGATAAGAAATAGGGCGGCCCATTACGAACTAATAGATGGTCTATTATTTTATATACAAAAACTACGAATTCCAACAACGAATTTCGACCTGTTATCCCAGCTAGTCTTAGATTAAATATCCTGCAGGAGCTCCATGACAGCCCTTTAGCTTCTCATGCTGGTATTCGAAAAACTATCCAACGCGTACGCGAGGCAGTCTATTTTCCTGAACTGCAAAAGTTAACAAGGGCGTATGTCCAGTCCTGCCCAACATGTCAAGCAGTTAATTATATTAATTTCCGCCCGGCCGGGTTTCTAAATAGTATTAAATCCGAATTTCCAAATGAAATAATTGGCATCGATTTATTGGGCCCTTTCCCA